TCGCGGTATTGTCTTGGTTCGTCGAACGTTGTTGTGTCGTCGTAGACAGGGAAGACTACGCAATACAACGCTTTTGTTCGGAGTGGAGTCGTAACGTCGTCTAGATAGTACAAGAAGAGGTTTCGAGGTAGGTCCTAAAACGGGGGGTAGCATATATATATATATATATGAGTGAGTACAAACGCACATACGGGAATATCGTTTGTTTGTACATGGGCATCCATATGCCTCCTATTCTGCAACCCAAAACGGTGTCAACAAAAACTGTGGACCCTAAACCTTTACAAAAACTGGCAACCACTCGGATGCGTCAAGACGTTCGTGAACAAAGGGGTCGCATCAGTGCACTCCGAAGTTCAACCAAAACCTCCAAGCCCTCCCCCCCAAAAGGAGTTTACGGCTCCCCCATCCTGAGCGATCTTCTGGGGCTTGGCGTGGCCTTGACCTCCCACGTCTCGCAGCACGGAGCTTTGGAGTCGCAGCTCTCGAAGCAGCCGCCGGGTTAAGATGCAGAGAAAGGGGAGCTTGTAGCTATGACGTGATTGTGAGATTGATCTGGAAGGCCTGGTGTGTCATGACCTCATTGGCTGTGATATGATCGGGTAAGTCAGGATAGGAAGGGAATTCGATACTGTACGTGTATACATGTGTTGCTGCTTCTGGTCTAGCAATTGTGTTGAGGATGTAGGGTTTCGTGGCTCCCTCCTCCTTCCCCTTGCATGTGCAAATTTCGGATAATAGCAGACCTCACGATACACCACCCAGGTTTAGAACAAAGCCATGTCGAGGAATCGCATTGCAGCGGGCTCCTTGGTCCTGGGCCTGCTTCTTTCCATCGCTGTGCCCCCGAAACTGCAGGACAGCGAAGGGGCGGGTTCCATAAGTTGTTTTTGAAGGTTTTGTTGGGGAGCTCTGTAAGGGAGGTAGGGCTTCAGGAGGCTAGGGCTTGGGAGGGCACTGGGCTTCCATGCGGAGTTTCTGGGTCTGCGATGCGTTTTTTGCTCGCCCGAGACACGATAGCTGTTGTCTGATCTGGGTATCGCTTCACTCGTGGCTGTGAAATGAGGGGAAGCTGCGCATCTGGGGGTGGGGCGTGCGCTTTCAAGCACACACGGAGGCCGGCTCCTGTTTTGGAGCCCGAAACACCCCGAACCCTTAAGCCTAAGACTCCGAGTGCGATAGTACCCTTGTAGTATCCCCTAAAAGCACCGTAAGTAAGGCCCTAGCACTTTGTAGTAGCCTTTCTAACCCTTATGGTACCCTTATTGAAGCAACCTGGGCTGCGCCAAGGTTCACTCTTTTCCGGTTCCGTTGCCCGCGCGGCTTCGCATGGGCACCTTAGTTGAAAGCACACGTGCCTGCGTCGGTCGTTGAAGGTCCAGCCGGCCCTGGGGTCGGAATAAGTAGTAGTTATAATAGTTATAGTAGACCCGTATAGTCTCTAATTGCAGATCGATTAGTACACTTAATTATGATTCCTGCGCCTTATTGCTTTGGTTTTGCTTCCGAGCCTGTTTGTCCTGGCTGGCTGTCAGCCCTTCGAGCCGAGGTGCTGCTAGGTCACTATACGATCTTTATGGTGGCTTGGCTTCCAGCTAACCCTAAACCCTAAAGCCTAAACCCGCCGACTTTCGAACATGGATCCTCGCCTGGCTTGTCCGAGTTGTGAGAGTGTAAAGCCTAAACCCACCTAGCAATGGGCAGAAACAACCCTAAAACCCTTATCGCATAAGTCAGAATGACGAAGCCTCTGCCCCGCTGAGGCTCTCTCCATCGCCTGCGAGCTGGGCTATGTGCCTGACATTTCTTAGTAGTGAGCCTTGTCGGGTTCGAGCACAGCTCCCCCGAAAACCCCTTAAAGGGGGGGGGAATTGTCTTGAAGATGGCTCAGCCATAGGTGTACTCCTCATCAGTGGGGATGCTAGGAGCTTGAAGCGCATTTTCCAGTGGCCGTCGCTTTGTGAAATGTTGGGACTGACCCCTCCCCGGGCCTCTCAAGAGAGCTTGATGTGGAGTGATGGCAGCACCACACAAGCACGTGCCTTCCGCGTGAAAAGTCCTACAGGTCTGGGACAGCAGCGATCTCGATTCGACTGATTCACTCCAGTCGCTGCTTGCCAACTGCAGGCCACGCAATCCTCGCAAGCGGAGCTTTGGGACAAGATGGATCGGGACTGTGGCTGGGGTCCGATGCCAGTGAATTTCTGATGACGAGCTGTTAGCCACAGTACCAATTCTGGAGTCCAGAATCGCTCACCACTAGCATGTATGGCTCAAACCTATGCCGGCCCGAAGCTGAAGATCTGCACTGGCCGGAGATGAGATGAAGAGGGGTACTTTGAAGCTTCCCAGCGTCGCCGGTCGCCCCAAGAGAACAGGTGATGAATTTGCACCTCGCTTGCACCCTTGTTGCCTCCAACTTGTCACGCCTTCATGCTGGGCCCGCGTGCCTGTGTGCAGCGCAGGCGATGGAGTGCGAGAAATGGGAGGAAGCATCGGTCTCCCTGATGCAATTTGAAGCCAACCTGTTGTGAACCAGTAGCCAAAGGCAGCCGAGCAACAATAACACAAATGCACAAGCACCTACTTGCAGAAACTGCCTTGTGTGCCTTGCACGGAGGATGAGGATGATGATTATCCGTACAAAGAGTGGGTCGCCAGCCTGGCAAGAAGAACGCTGCAACCTCCGATCAGCAGCGCCAGGGACTTGGCGTCCAGAACTTGGTTGATGGAAAAGGAGGAGGTGCAGAAGGCTCAATGGCAGGAAAGCTTCCGAAAGGAAAAGCTTTTTCTGCCGGCAGTGACAATGCCAGCAATCACCGCACCACAGCGGCAGGGCATGCATCTGCTTGGTGCTAGCCAAAGGCTGAAGCAGAAGAAGGTGATTGCCAGGCATGGGGATCAGAGATGGCGCTTCGTGGGGAAGGCGAGATGTGTGGAGGCTCAGGCGGTGAGCGCGACAGAGGGCGCGACTGAGACCGATGAGTATGTGCCATCAGGCTGGGGCAATTTGAAGGACTACGTGCACGGGGTCTGCTGTTGTTTGTGGAAAGATTTTGCCTTCTGTTCTTCCTTTCCCTCTGCTGGACTCTAATCGACCCTGTCACATGCAGTTTGAGAAGAGCCGAGGTCAAAATTGGGCCCGGCAGTCTCTTCAGTCATCCCTGGGACCGTCCCACGCCTTCGGGGATTCATCCGAACTCCCCACGGAAGAAGATTGCCGCTCGCCACACCTGCTACTAAAGAGGGCCAATTGGGACTTGGGCACGCTCTATCCGGCAGTTTTGCAGCTAGGCCCTAGGGCCAGCTGTATAGAAGTTTACCAGAAGTGTTTAGTAGGTGCAGGAGCCTGCAATCCTGCAGGCTCCATGCGTTTTCAGGCTTAAGAAGCTTCGGCTTTCCATGCGCCCCTGACCAGATTCAGCAAAGAACCGGTGATTGACGGACTGTTTGTCAAGAAGGTGTGGCACCTGCGTACCTCGCATTCAAAAATTGAGATGTCCAACACCCAGACTGAGACCTCTAAACATTCCAGTCCCTTGTGCTCAACCTGGTTGAACATTGCTTGTAACGGGCATCGAGCATGTGGTTTGCTAGTGACATCAGTGCTTCTTAGAAACAGCCCAGGCGAGAAATTTTGGTTTGATATTACTGGTACTTATTGTTGGTTCCTAGCTGGGACATGCTTAGGAAAGGGCATTCTTACCAGCTTTGTGCTTTCGGCACCTACTGCTCAAAGGCTTGACTTCATGTGTAGTCAGACATTGCCGAGCATTAATATTAGTGTTTTTATTTCTATTACTCTTACTAGTCATATTCATTAATATTAACATTATTTACTCAGGGGCTCAGGTCGTGAAGCGACAGATGCTAAGAAGCTGTTGGCAGGCCGAGGCACCGAAGGTGCCGAGGCACCAGACATGCATCCAAAGAGCGCACGAAAATCTTGATATATATATATATATATCTATATATATATATATCTATATGTGTATCTATTATGTATGCGTGTTTGAACTTTGGCTGAATGAGTGAGTGAGTTAGTTAGTCATTTTGTTAGGTAGCGGCTCGTAAGTAATGGATGTCTGACCTGGTCGAGCGCGAGTGCTAAACAATCAAAAATCGTTGGTTGCGTTAATTCTTAGTCAGTCAGTTTTTGATGAATTAAGTAGCAGAAGAAGTAGCCAATTAGTTAATTCGTGTTTCATCATGAAATCATCAATGTGTACTAATGATTTACCGAATGAGTGAATGCGTGAACTAGGGAACTAATGACATAATGAACTAACCACTTGATGAGTTTTTGAGGTAATGAATTGTTGAATTATTAAACTAATTGTTGAATTATTGAACTACATGATTGATTGTTTGGTTGGTTGATTGATTGATTCATGTATGCAATCGTTCGTTCGCTCATTCATTTGCTCGTCCATTCATTCATTCATCCATTCAGTGTTTGGTGTTACATGCATGGCTGCTACATGCATAGCGGCTATTCCCCGGGCAAATTGATGGAGCCCCGTAGCCAAAAACTGTTTCATTCATTGCTTAATTCCTCCATTGCTTCCTTCCTTCATTCATTCATTCATTCATTCATTCATTCATGCATTCATTGTTTCATTCATTATAAAATTCTTTAATTGCTTTTTGAAGCGTGCCAGCCCCAGACCGTGTCTCCAAAAACCAATCGATCAATTAAGTAATCACTCAAGGATTTATTTAACTAAGGAATTTAGTTAATCAGCTAATTCAGCTGATTTATTACCGAGTTGATTCGCTGACAAATAAGCATAAGTAAATGCATGTATGTATGTATGCATGCTTGAAAGCATGCATGCATGCATGCATGCATGCATGTATGTATGTATGTATGTATGTATGCATGCGTGCATATATATATATATACACAGTAGTACTGATTCGCCAACAAGTTATATAGTCTCGGCCTTACCACGTGTTCAAAAATTAACACATTGTTGCCAGCACGATGGCATTTTCCGTGAGCAACATCAAGCGTGCTACGGAGGCACTGAAGAGTAGCGGCATTGGATAGGGCACAAGAATCAAACTTTTCGTGTCTGTCGAGTTCTCCAGGAAATGCTGCTGCCAGTAGAGAATTCATAAGAAGCCTGACCAGAGCGTTTCGTTCAAGTGGATGCACGTCTTGCATGTGTTGGCGCTCGTTGAACGAAGTTCGGGACGAGGGCACTTAGATTCCGACCCAAGAAGCCAAAGTATTTTTGAAAATCCGAGTGCGTGCGAGAGTGCCTTGCGAGCTCCTAGCTAGCCGTTCATCTACGAGGAACATTGGGATGCCAACTTGTCCTCCAAGCGGCCTGCAAGTCTTATGTCCTTGTCTCAGCTGTCGCAGGAGCTCTGCCGGGAGTATACAGGCGACTCCTATGATGCCGCGTCCCATGTCAGGGCTTTCCCTTCCGCTTTCCGAGTGTGACCAAGATAGCATGAAGTCGCAAGGTGATCCAGCACAGCAGCCGCCACTTCGCTCAGGAGGCCTTGTGTGCAGAAGAAGGTTTGTGCCAACAGTCTCTTCTCTTTGAGTTTTGTTTTGCGTGCGGAAGAGGTGGCCTGGTTCTTGCTGGACAGAAATCTCCCAGATGAGGCGGAATTCGGCAAAGAGTTGGAATCTTGAAGGGAAGGGCCTTTTGTTCTGCGTGCACCACCGTCATAGCTGCACAGACTGATCGTGCCTTCGGCGGCTTTCGAAGCTGCTTAGCCCATGAGACTTTGATGTCGTGTCTCCTGCCGTGTTCAGTTTTGCAGGAGGAATCCCGGGATATCTTTCGACTTGCTCTCATGCAGAACATTAGGACGAGTAAGAACATAGAGTTGACTGATCCGAGAGGCCTGGCTACAGCCTCCGAGTTTGGCCAGTGCCATTACAGACATCAGGCGGCCCTCAGCCCAACTTCGTGGTTTTATGGGTTAAAGGGGTAACCTGGGAGGCGAAGCCTCGCCTGGACAGTCCGAGTGCGAGGGCCGCAACCAGAACTTGAAGACCCCAAACTCAACATTGCTTGAAAGAGCACGAGGGCTTCAGTCCCAGGAGCCAAGGCATACATGAGCGCATCTGTGCGTCCCTCTCTCTTCATGAACGTGGTATGGGTCCAATCTATATGTGATTCTTGAACCCCAACAGTTAGGTTCCGCTGAAAACTCAGCACTTTTGAGAATGGTTGTAGTTGATTGGGAGTCTTGCACATCTTTTTCACATGAAGTCGACTAACCTGAAACAAAAGCCTCACCTCCAACCAACCAATCACCAAGCACCTCGCCTGGCATATCTGAGAGCGAGCGCCAAAATGAACCTATGCAGCGGTCTAGAATCGTAATTTTGGTAATAGTAGCAGAGGTAGGAACCGTGATATCAGTACGGAAAGTACAAAAAGCAATGCTGTGTTTTTGCCGGAGTCCTGTGGAGCTCCGCACGACTATTCATCCCGCAGCTTCTTCATCTAGCCCAGCACGTGCTGTTCTTCTAGTCCTGCACTGCTCGTATGTTAGCTTTTGAAGCTCAGGCCCTACCTATTACCTATTTCTTCTGTACAGCGTGCACAAAGAAGAGTTTTCCATGCTCCACAATATCCAATGCAGACAAACATCGAGATCGGAGTTCCGGACAACGGAGTCCAGCACGAGCATCGCATGAAGATTCGTTTCGACAACTAGCTCGTCAATGCACCGGTGAACGGACAGTGACTATGTAGGACCCCATGCATTCATCTCACGTTTGTTCCAATTCTTATCGCCGTTGCCGCTATTGCATTGCTGCGGCTGGAGAAAACTGGGGGTGTCTGCTAGGGGTGCATTGTCAGGATCCTATTCTTTAGGGTTCCAGATCAGGCTCCATTGCTCCCCTCGGAACTCCCTGGCCTTGAGAGTTCCCTAGCGCGGAGCCGCCATGCGCCTGGTGCCTGCGCGCGCCGCACCCGTTGCTGGAGCTCTCCTTGCTGCTGTGGTGCTTCTCTTGAGGCTGGTTGCATGGTGCCGGCATTCCTGCGTTGGAGGGTTCACGTTTGCTTCATGGTGACGGAGATGCCTCAAGTTGTCCTGAGAACCTGTACATGACTTGTCCCGCAGGTTACACACTTGGTCACGGTTGCATACGATGCGTGCCAACCGCAGGGCTTCTCCGAACCGTCGGCGGCTCCTTCGCTGGCTTCGTTCGTTGAGCGTGGCTCTGCGCCAGCTGCAGGCCGAGCTCTATGGTGGTCGGGAGTTGGGTGTTCGGTTGTTCTGGACATCTTTTTGCAGGGGTTGATGTGGCTCAATCACGGCACCGGTTTCAGGCAAGGACGAGTCCAAGAAAGTTATTCATCTGACAATTGGAAGCCTGTTCGAAGTCCTTCGTTCGCCTGCTGCTGAACTTCATTAGCTTTTTCAACTTTGAATCCATTTGCCGCAGTCGGGGTGGCTCAAGGTAGAAGAGGACCCCCTACCAGGGCCAAGCATCTCGGACAATATCGGGCCACCAGTGCTCAGCGCAGAGCCTTGGCCCAGGGCAGGACAGAGCAAGGCTCGGGGTGTGTCAATGGCTGGCACAGCCCTCCAATCGAGCTCCAAATCCATCAAGGATCTGGCCGACGAGCTCGACGACTATGTGGAACGCGGGCCTCACAGACTCAACGTGCTTTGCTTCGTCGGAGGTGCTGCCATCGTGTTGAATGGCGTCTTTAGTGTGGTGGACGTGTTCAATGTGCTGAGTGAGCCCGTCTACTATGTCGTGAATGCCTACATGGTCTTCTTCGGTGCTGTCACATGCGTCACTGAAGCTCGGCCCACCTTTGCTGCGCAGCTGCATGACACGGTGCAGGGTGTGCAGCGTTGGATGCACGAATGGGCCAAGGGCCTGACCTTACTCTGGGGACGAGGCCTCTTCTACATCTTCCAAGGGACCTTCTGCATGTTGTCCTCCGGCCTTTTGAGCCTTGGCCTGGTCATCGGCGCCTACATGCTAGTGATAGGCCTCCTCTGCCTCAAGGTGGGCTATAGAAGACACGTCCAGAGTACATCGACAGATTACATCCGAATCACCGAGTAGTTCGAGCAGTTGTGCATAATTCTGTACCAGACCAAGAAATGAGTGCGGATTCCGTGAAAAGATGAGTTCTCCTCCTGTGCTCTTGACTCATGTTGTCCGACCTCCACGGAGAGGTTTTGCCCACGTCCCCATAACACCTTCCGTCGCCAGTGTGGAAAATGCGACAGGCACCGCGCGGATTCCTGCCAGAATGGCCTCCACCTCCTCAGCTTCCCGGCCAAACTTTGCTGAAAAGGGCTTCTTGCTCAACTCATGCTCGGGGAGCTTCTGGCCCTGAGCCCTAAGCCCTACCACTAAAAAGACCTCGCCGTGAGCATAGTTTCTCAGCAATACAAAAAAGGGAATAGCCCTACCACCCGAAGCCGTACTGAGGGGATGATAATCAAAGTGTGATGCGAAGAACCTGTGAGTGCCCGCCCAATCGGGCTCTCCGTCGGCCATACTAGCTTTGTAGCAGTCGGAAAAAGGTGTCAAAACCAAAACCTTCAACCCTAAACCCTAAACCCTAAACCCTAAACCCTAAACCCTAAAACCTTCAACCCCTCAACCGAAAACCCTGAAACCTAACGTAAAACACTTCGGGGCTTCGACGTTGGAGCTCCCGGTCACCTTAAGGGTCACTACAAGGGGGTATTCTACGTATTACTTGCCTTAGTCCTACAAGGCACAGTTCTAGCAAGTGGTATTACATGTTATGTAGTATTAAAAATACGATTAACATGGTCATTGTTATTATTAGCATTATTATTATTATTATTACTACTACTAACTATTAGTAGTTTTTTGATATTATTTCTAGTGTATTTTATTGTTTGTAGGTTGTCATTGTACATATTCCTAGTCTTATTCTTCTTATGGTTCTTAATTATTCTTCATATGATAACACCCAGGCTGCTGCTGCGGCAGGGCTCGGTGGTCCTGGCTTTCGGGACCGTGCTGCTGCTGCTGCCGGGACCTAAGGCAGCAGGTGCAGACGAGCTTCGAGGTTTCGCTTGAAGCGGTTTAGGGTTTGGCAAGTCCTCATGCACAACAAGGGTCTCATGCTTTCAAAGACCGTGTTGAATCTAGATTTCGAGTTTTTCACGAGTCCCCAATCGAGAACTGACTGTCGTTTGTAGAAGTCCTGTATTTTGGAGGGTGGGCCACAGGGTCAGAGCCCTTGCGCTGATTAAGGTGGACGGCGCAATCTTCGAGAGGCGATGTGCTGCAGGACGACGGCCTGCGAGCATGGGTGGCAAAGGCACGACGGGGTCTGCGTGCCCACTACGGGCCTACTACCAAACTGTATAAGCTGGTTATCTTGCGAGCTCCAGCCAGATTGTCAAACGGGACATGGACCGCAAATAGTGGATCCTCATGGTAAGGACCGCAACAGGATCCCTAGTTTAAGCAAGAATCAGGCGATTGCACAAGTCCTGATGCAAAAAAGCAAGAATCACCCCCAGATCGTGTCGTGCCAGGAGCAGGAGACCAGGCGGGCGAAGTTGCAGGACCTCTTGAGGCAGGTGCCCCTTGCACGCTTGGCTGCATCTGCACCCGGGCTCCGCTGTTTGCTTCAGAGCCAGCTTGCAGAGCTCGCACAGCCTGCGAGTGATACTGTGGAGAAGGCCTCTGAGTCTCCGGAGCGTTTCGAGTGCCGAATCACATCAGAGTCCATCGCCGATGCAGCAGAGGAGTTGGCGAAAGCTGACTACCAAGCGCCGGAGGCTTTAGATGGCTTTGCCATATCTGCCGCGCTAACGGCCTGCGATCTGCGGCAGAAGACAGCCGAAGCACGTCTCGCAGCCACGGGAAGCTCGGACTCTGCGAAGATGCTTTTGGACGCAGAGGCAGTGACCAAGGGGGAGGCAGAGTGCGATGTCTTGCAGAGGCGTGCCCGAGAGGCGCGGGACTTAGAGGAAACTATCTTGAAACGTTGTCCACACAGGCTGTCCAAAGCAATACAGAGGCTCTACAGCCAGGAGTTAGCGGCTGCAGAGTCCATGGTGCGATTTCGGCGCCTTGCACAGTGGCAGTGCGTGGCCGGTCTCGTTTGGCGCTTGAAAAGCACCTTGCCCTTCGTGGCGCTCTCTTCCTTGCTGTCCATGGTGCTCGGTGCTTTCTCATCGATGCGCCTGCACTACCAGGCTGCCGTCATCAATTTAGCCAAAGATGCCGTCACAGCCTCGACGGGCTCTTCCAAGACAAGGCCTCCAGCAAGCGTTGGGCAGACGGTAGGGGCTATGGTCGTGAGCGAGCTGATCATCCAGCTGGCCGAGTTTGCGCGCGGCCGCTTGAGCTTGCAGGGCAAGTCCAAGGTGGTACAGGAACTCAAAGTGGCTCTTTTTGGTGCGCTGCTACGTCAGGATCTCGAGTATTTGGAGCAGTGTGATCTCCTTCAGCTGCGCTCGCTGATCGGAAGTTGTGGCAGCACCATTTCGCAGGTGGTCGATTTTCCAGCCACCGCCGTGGAAGCTTCAGTCCGCCTTGGCACAGCAGTACTGGCACTCTCCCGACAAAATCGTGGCCTGGCGGCTTTTTTGATCATAATGCTGCCGCTGAGATTTATGCTCAGCCAGCTGTTGCTTGGACTGGAACAGCGGCTGCAGGACTCCAACGCTCTCCCGGATTTCAGGGGCCAGATCAAGAGCTGCTGGTCCTCGCTGGTGAGGCCGCCTGCACTGCGTACCATGCGCCTCAGACGCTCTTCATTTACTGGGTCTGGCCCAACTAAAACCCCAAACCCTAAACTCTCGTCTTCTGACCCAGTGCAGCCACGCAGCACAGTGCGTGGAGCTGCTGTGGCTTCTTGAGAACAGGTGAGGTCGTGTAAAGCTGTTTCTTTTGGACTTTCTTCAAAGACCTGGTTTACATATGCTCATCAAGGGCTAGTGCTCCGTCGAGGATTTTTAGCAGGCTCCTTCTGATTTGCCCTGCTCAACACCGCCTGAATCAGTCCTAGCATGTGCGATTCCCATTGTTCGTAGTAATACTACTGCAGTCCGTTTGCATCGGTCGTCCTTGCTAAATGCTTCAGCTCATACCTTCAGAAGCCATGCCTGCCTTGCGCGAGAGTGTGAGTCGAAACCCCTCAAGCCCTTAACCACGAAACCCGGACACTCCTAAACCCCTGGTGTGAGCGCCGAAACCCCTCAAGCCCAAAGCCCCTAACATTCCTAAACTCCTAAAACGGCGAGTGGAAAATGGTCGTCCAAAAAAACCCTAAACCCTATAAACTCTATAAGCCCTCAACTCCCATAAACCCTCTACGCCCTATAATGCCCTATAAACCCCTACAAATCCTGTCCTAATCTCCGGGGCCTCGCTCAGTGCAGGCGTGCCTTCGCACGGGAGCCCGTGGAGTTGGCGACCTTCGCCCGGTTCCTGGCCGTTCACGACCAGATGCAGCAACGGAAGATGCTGCTTTCTTGCGGTTTTGGGTTTGGGGTTTCAGTTCAGGTCTAGGTCGTTTTTTGGTTGAATTCTGGAGAAGGCTTTCTTCGATTATGCAGCTTAGATTCGCCCCAAGCAGCCCTGAAGTTTGAGCTCTTTCAGTAGAGTTTGCCCCAAAGCTTTAGAAGGGCCGTCCAGGCTGGTGTTTCGCCTGCTGCAGCCAGTCCAGGCCGGCAGCGCCATCAGCTTTGCTTTACGCTTCTGTGGATCGATTTAGGGTTTAGGGTTTAGGGTTTAGGGTTCAGGGGTTTAGAGATTGATGTGATGAGAGCTGAACTTCTGTAGGCTCGCACATTCAGGAAATTTGCACAAGTCCTGATGCAAAAAAGAGATAGATGTGAGGCCCGGTTATCAGTCTGGCAAGAAACTCCCTCGTTGACATTTGTGACAATGGGGGGTTTATCCTCATCGCCCCCTATTTACGGGTTGCATCCCCATCCATTTTGTTTCGGTGGAGGGGAGGGGTTTTCAGGGTGGCTGGCATTGTCATGCCTCTGTCTCGCGCGTCAATATATGTCTGCTTCAGGAATGAGAAATATTCCGCGACAGGTGTCAGATGGTGTCAGAAAAGTTACCTAGGGGTAACTCGTTTCTGGCAGTGTGACGAGGACTCCCCCATCACGAGTCAGCGTGTGGTTTAGGCGCTCATATGGTATTTTTGTAAAGACCTTCTATACAGTAGGTTGTGTAGCAGGAGTGACAGGGGTGCGAGGTGTGTTTAGTGGGCCAGGTATGGTAGAGTTTAGTGGGCCAGGTATCACGGGAGGGTAGAGTGACCCTCATCACAACCACCGTCTGATCGAAACCCAGTATGGTCTTGCAACGAGACACGGCAGAGGCTTCGAGGATAGGCTATGTTTGCAAAGAGAGGAATTCCAGCCGTTATGTAGAGGGGAGAAATGAGTGGGAGTGAGAGGTGCGTCTAGTGGGCCGGTCGCTTCACCCTGAACTCTAAACTCTAGAGACCTGTCTGCAAGCTGTGGCCTGCGAGGGGAGACGTGGGGATCCAGATGCTGCGGAGTGCTGCGCGATATCGCCCGTGACAGTGGTCAGACCCCCCGGTAACACGATATTGAAACAGGGAGTAGGTGGGACACCTACTTCCCGAACCCCCCCCCACCCCTCTCCCCATGAGGGGATGGACTACAAAGCAAAGCAGTCTTCTGGACGACCTCCAGGCACTGCTTGACCATGGGCTGGAGATCAGCACGCTCTGGTACGGAGGCCGCCTGGCCATCCGCGGGGAGATGCAGCTCCTTGGTCGGTTTTAGGTTTTTCAACAAAGGGTTTATGGAGTGTCGCCAGCAAGGCCCGAGGTGGGAGGCTGTTGAAAGAGCGACCTCAACGGAATGCGGACTCGGATATCCGAGACTGTTCCAGGTTCGGAGAGCTCGCGTCGGTGGTCCTCATCGCGCAAAATGCGTTCGATGGAGTCAGGTGGGGTGCTGCACAGCGAAGAAGTCGGACTATCAAGCAGAATCAGGCACACATGTTTATAGCTGCCCTACGCTGGCACTGTTCCTTCGCTGTCGTTTCTAAACTGCGTGAGGTATGCCCAGGGTGCCGCGGCCAACGTGTCCGCCCACGCTCTGGGGCCGTTGGCTCAGATGGCGAACCTCTTGGGCCGAACCCCGCAAGGGGCCTTGGACGAGCCGAGCTTGAGCTCCATGCCGGAGCCTGGAGACTTGGTGGTGTAAGACAGTGTAAGAAGGGTGGCGGTTTCACCAGAGGAATGTTACAGCACACTTTGCAGGGGACTTGCATGGGGTTCAGACGCACTTGTTGCTTGACTTCCAAACGAAGGAGATGTGCATTGGGACATCGAGTTTAAGAACGTTTCGTTCGAATACCAGCAGCGCCAGGGTGCGACAGTCCTGAAAGACTTGTCTTTCCGTGCAGAAGCGGGCGAGTTCCTGGGTATTCTAGGTCGGGGGTCTGAATCATACAACACATGCTTTCCCCTTTCGTCCTATCCTACCAGAGGGCTGACCCAGAGTTAGTCGCGTTGACAGCAGGTGCTACGGGCTCTGGCAAATCAACGATTCTTTCTCTACTCTTGCGGTTGTACGAGCCAAGCAGCGGACAGATTTTCCTGGGAGGCAAGCCCCTGCGAAGTTACAACCCGCTGTGGCTCAGACGGCATATCGGCTTTGTGAGCCAGGATCTCGTCCTGTGCCGGCGTACGGTCAGAGAGAACCTGCTGTATGGATGCGTCTCTGTGGGCATGTCGGGGCAAGCGCAGGTGGAGGAGCCCACGGAAGAGATCGCCAGGACTGCACTGCGAGCTGCCCAATGCGAGGATACCTTCTTCAACCAAGCAGCCTTTCCAAACCTTTGGCATACGGATGTGGGGGATGGAGGGAGTGAGCTGAGTGGTGGGGAGAGGCAGAGGCTCGCACTGGCAAGGGCCATTGTCAAGAAGCCACGGCTTCTCATCTTGGACGAGGCAACCTCTGCGCTGGACGAAATCTCCCAGGCGAAGTTGCAGGAGGAAGTGGAAATCCTTCGAAGGGAAGAAGGCGTGACGGTCATTTGTGTGGCCCATCGCCTGTCAAACCTAGCCAAGGCAGACCACCTCTTGGTGGTGAAGGATGGTGAGTTGGCCGAGGAAGGGTCGCCGTCGGCGCTGCTGAAGACGGACGGCATTTTTGCCGAGTATGCGCGGGCTCATCAAGCGGTTCTTCAGGATTCCTGATGCTGCCTTTTTCTACGTACCCTGCTGTTCAGCGCAACTTCTGGAGTCGTCGACACAGTGCTCTCGCATGTCCAGGAGGATCGTTTCATGACCACTGCTCGTTGCGACCAAAGCCCATTGTTGTGTGCTTAGTTCAGGATTCATGGAAGTAAACCGGTCAACCCTTCGAAACTACAGACCCCAAAGCAGATCGACTACAAATGTCTCAAAAGAGAAACGCAGCACTTGACAGTTGAGCTCCAATCGACAAAACATGGTGTCAGGCCCGTCGTATCCGGTCGTCAAGTGCTTGCCTGTGCTGAGCGTGAGAGTCGAAACCCTTCAGAGGCCGTTGCTGAACCAGTGGTTCGGGCGCTTGTCACCGGAAGCAGGCTGCATGCGGGGGCTGTTTAGATGCTATGTGGCGCTCTGCGGGAGGAGTTTTGTGGGCGTTCGCAACTTGTCAGCGTTGCTGCCCAGAGTACCTAATATCTAGCCGCACACCTATTAAGAGACCGTCCTACTGAAGAGCAGTTAGAATAGTTTTCCAACATCAAAACGTTCTTTAAGAGTATCCGTCTTCCTCGTACTCCAGGAAAGGAATGCCATAATGGAATTTCGGGGATCTCCTGGGAGCAGAGAGAGGTTGAGGGATTCTAAGTGGGAGCACTTCACGCCCCGCCCCAAAAAATCCTCCTACATCCTCAGTCCGATGCCCGAAGCAGCATTACAAGGACAAGCAGCAACATGTTTGCTGCCTGGCAACTCCTGTGCCCAGTTTCCCTTTGCCTTCGCAGGCGCGGACGAGGCACGCTGGATACATGAATGCGATTTCAGTCGGCGTCGTCTCCTGGATGGCCTACTTGGAGAATCATGGGGCTTAGTAGGTCGGGTATAATTATGGTTAAAATTTAAAATACTGTACCTAGAACCCTAGTTGCGAAGTCCCATGATCCTCCCACAGTTGGCAGGACCCCAGGTCAGCTTGAATGGAAGCCCGTCGCTTCCCACCAGGCGCGAGGAAGCGATGTGGCAGCGGCCGAGGGGGCCTGGAGCCAACTCGCGGTGGGCAGGCCGGGACCCTGGCCTAGGCTTGGGGGCTCAGGGTTTAGGTTTAGACCTGGGCTCATGCTTGTCATGGCCGTAGCGACCACGATTATAGTGATGATGACGGTACGGACGATGATGATGATGATGATGATGGTAGTAATGACAATGACGACGACGATGACGACGGTGATGGCGACACTGTTGATTATGGTGGTAATGATTTTGCTGCTGCGGCGGTGGTTCGTAACATTGACACAGTTGCTGCAAGTTTTCGCTTAACAGTTTCGAACTTATCATGATCATATTCGCTGTTTTGGTGATGCTGTGTCGTTGTGGGTCTGATGGAGTTCCAAGCTTTACAAGCATTTGCTAGTAGTAGAGTAGGCAACCTTTAACCTTTTTGGGGAACCATAATCCCTCCATAATAATCCTACTATACTCCCAAAGCTTAACTTTTGGTTCCCCAGGATATTGGACAAGTAGGATTTCGTTTGAGGCCTCCGTAGCGATTGAAATTGCCGAGCTCAGCTCAGTGCTCAGGGCAGGGCTTTGCCGTGTCCGCCGACCTCAATTGGGTCAGAGGGTGGTGTAATATGGGGGCCTTAATAATTGGAATAGGGTTTGGGGTCTAGTATCCTATATTTATAATATGGAACCCCCACAACCCTATTCCAATTATTCAGGCCCCTACAGTCGAGATGTCAGCTGCATGAGACCCCACAGGGTTGCCCCTAGTCAGTTTCACACACTTCCATTCAGTGCCCCTGCCCTGCCGAGTCTGGTATCCTTTGCGCGAGATGGGCTGCCCAACGTGATTGCCGAGGCTGTGGGACCCAAGTGTAGCCCGAGACCCTGCCTCAATTCTGAGTCCTGCTTTCATTGGAAGCCGTCCGCGTGGAGCTTCAAGTCTAGACTCTAGATCCAAGCTTTGGCCCTGCAGGTGATTTCAAAGGAAGCAGGCCCGGCTGAGCTGCTGTCATGCTCGCCCCTAGAGCTGAGGGTCAGGGTCAGCTGCTGTCGTTTTGGCATTTCTTTGGTTTGGAACTGCGGTGCCCGCGGACCTTGAACAGGCTCAGTCTCCTGAGGTTGCACTGAGCCATTGAACTTGAATCCTCGAGAGTTCGCAGACACGGGACAGACTCCTCGCTTCGTTCGTGCCAGAATCCCGAAACCTCAAGCCCTTAAACCCTTAAACCCTTGAAGCGCTTGCGGCCCAGCGGTCGCTGTAAGCAATAGCTGCTTCTCGGCCGGACATCCCGGCGAGTCTTCCACCTCGCCGCCAAGATGAAAGAAGTGTGGATTTGGGATCCCGTGGATGCCAACGCCGCTTTCCAGCATCCGCAGGAACCACCCGAAAACAATCTGGTGATGGCCAAAGAGTGCTTCATGGACGGGAAGATCGGGGCGCGCCTGAACAAACTGTCCAGGGCTACGCTGGTGGACCAGAATGGCTCTATTGCCATGGTCACCCGCGAGGACGGCAGCAGACACGAGGTGCCCAGGGCCCGCCTGTTACAGTGGTACGAGGGACTTCTTGTCTTGCAAGAGCTTGAGGCGAAAAGTGATGCAGGTGTCACTTGGTTTGACGACCGTTGCCGCGATCTCTTGATCCAAGCGCGCAAGAAGTACAAGTCCGGGATCCTGGGCAGCCTCTATGTCGAAAGGAAGCTCCTGAATATTTCTGTCACAGGTAAGCGGTTGGATGCAGAGGGCCCAAACTTTACCCATCGGCGGCCAGAGGTGAAAGATGTGGAGCTTCCTGCAGAGGGCGAGGATGAGGCAGTGCCGGGCCGGTTTAGCATCGTTGACATCACTGGCTACATGCCCCCTTGGGAGGCTTGGTGCCACGAGCATGCTGGCTTTTACCAAGACTTCTATCAGGTGCAGTGGAAGAGCGATAAGGGCACGGCCTGGGCAGGAATGAATTTCTCAAAAGTGGAGAACGGTGCCGTCGAAGCAGGTTCGACTTGGGAGCCTGACGACTGTATACCGCCCAGCCTTGATGGCATGAGGTTGCGCGAAAAGACGAGGTGGTTCAAGCGCAAGCGCGTTCAGGAGCAGAAGGCCGAGAAGGAGCTTGCGGAAGCCACGAAGTCGAAGCGCCCTCGAAACGAGAGCTCGTCGAGGCTGCCCGAGCCGCCGGCAAATCTGGGCCGGTACAGGCGCAATGGCAGTGCGCTTATGAAAGACCTGTTCCTTCAGATTGGCCACGACTTCGATCGAGCTGAAGCTGAAGCAAGCAAAGATGTTTGCAGTGGCTGGCCCAGGAAAGCCGAGGACTATCCCCCCGGCTATGGATGCGCAGACCCACCCGGAATCTGCCATGCCACATGTGATTGTATGGACGAGAACAAGTTGCCGGAACAGACGAAGGCGTGGCTCGAGGATCCGAGACGCTCCTCCGATGCGGCCATGGCCATTCACAATCTGAGCCTGCAGAAGCACTTCGTCGCACGAAGGGGCTCGGTTTCGAATTGGCACCGCTTTGAGCCTGTCCAGACGGGCCATGCAGACCAGACGACGCACGCGAAGGCGGCGCTGGATCTTTCCAAAGTTTTGGAGGAGTCGGTCCGATCGGTGCTTAAGGACCTGCCCATCTTGGCCCTCCAGCAGAGCGGAGATTCGGTTCGAATCCCAGCTGGTGCCCTACTCAAGCCGTCCGAGGATTATGTGCCGGTACATTTCCAGCTGTCACAGACCGCCGCTGCTCGACAATGGCTATCTCTCAGTGAGGATGGCAAGCTATCTCTCATGGGGAACGGCCCGCCAAGCCGGCCGGCGCCTTTCAGAGTGGAATTCCTCCACTCGGAGGGATTGACTGCTGTGGTGGACTGCATGGTCACCGACACCCAGCAGAAGCCCTGGCTGTCGGCTTCGGCAACAATCGCGGCGCGGTTCACGAATGTGGCGCTCTGTCCTTTGTCACGCAACGTTCGCGTGGTTCTGCAAGAGCATCTTCGAAAGATGTTCAGCTTCGAAACGAAGGTGGCGAAGGAAGTTTCCCTTGGCCGCTGGCTCGATGTTGCGGACATGCTCATCCGCATGCTCAGGACGACAGCAACGGTTGACATCGTGAAGCCCGATGCTCAAACCTCTCGGCCACCTCCACGAGCTGCGGCTGTCGCTCGAGCTGGATAAGAGCCGGCGGTGTTTCACAGCTGTTGTCACGGCAACGTGGGCAATCGGCTCTCTGCCCCTGCTTAGCCCAATGCGGTTGGGAAAGTAGTTTCGCGCGGAGGATGCTTGCACTGAGTCGCTCGCCTGGAGTGTCCGAGTTGCGAGAGCGGAAACCCTAGACTGAAGCCGCAAAGCTCGAAACTCTAGGAAAGGAAGGACCTTGGAAAGATCCCGCGAGTCAGCATGGGTCTATGGCAGTAGGAAGATATCGCAAAGCGGCATCTTGCTGACAGTGCAGCAACATTCGGACCACTTTCTTGCGTTGATCTTTCGGTGGAAGTAAGCTTGTCTTGGCCCCTTGAGATGAGCCCGCTTAGACGTTGGACTCGGCGGCATTCATGCAAAGCAAAGCATGGCCCTGCAGGTGGTAAGGGTTCAGAAGGCGTAAGCAACCCCGAGCTAACGTCCCAAACTGCTCCAACAGGAACGAGTGTTTTGATAGAAGACCTTCTGTGTCCTGTGTCCGAAGGAGCCTGCGACCTGTGGTGGCCGCTGCCTCAGCCAGCGAACCCAACACCCCTTGCTGAAGTTACACCAGATTACATCAGAATAAGAAGCCCCATGTAATGTGATTGGAGCCTGGAGTCTGAGGAGAATTTGCGAATCAGACAAGTACCTTGAGATGCATCAGGAGAGGCCCTACATAATTTGGCGAATCATAGCACGAAGCCCTGCATAAGTCATTGGAGGGTATTGGGCTCTCTGGGAGAAGCTGCTTCGAGGACTCGGCCTCAGTAGGCAGATGTTTGAGGTCCTTGAGGGATCCGCTGGTCAGGATGTAGGGGAGCAGTAGTGGTGGTGACCGACAGAGCTTGCTTGCCGTATCCATCCATTATTAAATCTACACTACAATTTCCTGAGCCACAATGATGTTCAAGATGATGTACCACTCAGGAAGCCAAGCTTGGTATGCTTGATGTATCAGCGTCAAGAAAGGCAAACCCCTTTACAAGCCTTTGTTCAAAGCTGGACACTGTACGCAAGGAGGCCATGACGAAACTAGGCAAACCCCTCCACTCAACCCCAAACACTGGTTGATTCATGGGGTTAGGTGCACCCCGGCTCCTGGGTTCCTGCAACTTACTTCTTGTCATGCCTGTGAGTTTTCTTGTAGCGAGTGCCGAAACGCTAAACCTTTGACCCTACATACCGCCTGCTGCAGACCTAACAAGATCGAGACTTGAACACTAGAAGCTCCAAAGAATTAAAAGGTAAAGCCCTAAGCCCTAGAAGCTCTAATGCCCAGAAGCCCTCAAGTTAACCAAAAGCCTGGCACCCTAAACCTCCCCTACACCCTAGAGCCTTGTCCGAGGTGTGAGAATGTCAGCCCCAAAGAACGGCCCTAAACCTTATAAGCCCCAGGCACAGGCAAAAGAAGCCCTAAAACCCGAATCACCAAACTTTCCTAAACCCTAGCTAAAAAAAAAAACCATGAACACCCTAAGGCGTCAAGTCCCGAGGTGTCAGAATAAGTCCCTAAAAAAGACCTTCCTCGGCTCGGCGCTCGGGATTAAGGTGGGAGCCGCGCGGCTCCCAACACGGTCGCTTTGTGGAGGCTGGCTTTCAGAAGATCATGGGTTGGGCCTGCTTGGGGTTTAGGGTTTAGGGTTTAGGGGTTTAGGGTACTATAAGGGTCTAAATAAGTACCTATACTACTATTTGGGGGGTTCCTCATTATAATTATAGTATAATGGCCCAAAACCCTGTTCTAATTATTAAGGCCGCTACATTAGAGGTTCGGGACTTGGGGTTTAGGGTTTATGCTTTAAGATTCGGGGGTGTCCGGGTTGAAGCAGGATTGCGGGATTGAGGTTTAGGATTCCGGATGTGAGATTCAAGGTGTTTAGGATTCAAGGGTTAGCACCCGGAAGGATTTTCAATGCATAGGGGCTGCCGTGATCTTAAGTTATTCCGCAAAGTACCTGGTGCTGTCGGGATGCTGTAGGGGTGCAGCTTTATTGTTGCTTAGGCTGCTGCGCTCAAAGGATATTCCACGAGCCAGCTTGTTGTGGGGTTTAGCGGTCTGGGGCAAGTGACAAGACGCAAGTTTAGGGACCGGGATTTCGGATTTGGATTCCAAGACTAGCACAGCTCCGGGTAAGTTAGCCGCTGCTCTTAGATGCTCAAAACTCACATCTTGCTTCGCAGCTGCCCCGAGGCAGTGGGAGTTTCGAAGATGCAGGCTGGCGGGCCAGGGTGACAACAGCTGCACCCTGAAGGGTCGGTTGAAACCGTGTCGACTTGACTACATTGACCACACATACTGCGCAGGGAGCTGCCTTCAATGCTTCTTCTCATGGTGTCACGCCACATGCTTTTGTCAAGGTTGGTCGCCCCAAGCCCCACCGCAGCCGCAACACGATGTCAGATATTGTATATAGACACACCGACCGGAGCTTGTTCTGTAAAGTACCTTAAAGCCTCAATCCTTGCTCCGACACAGCCCGAGTTCGAGCCTAAGCTCAGCACCACACGCGAGAGGCTGCGAACTGAATGCCAAGACAAGGGGCAGAGGCATGCGCATGTAGAGGCTTGAACCTCTCACCCAGTACTTAAGGACCTGGTCATGCTAGTTAACAGCATCATCTCTTTTTCTTCTGCGCCCACTGTGGCGGCGAATGGGCCGCCTGCGCAAACAGGGCAAGGACATTTCGCCTCTGAGGGGTGCGATGCCGTGGCCTGTAGTCTTTCGTCAGAAGAGAGGTGGAGTGAAGAGGTTCGATCGTTTGGTATGCTGTAATGCAAATTCCGGCCCTCAAACCCAGTTCGCCCACCAGGAGAAGCTTGGGAAAGAGGCCCATAGAAGCCTTTGAAGAAACTAGCTCGAGAGGACATGACCAACGCGGCGACGCCGCCAGATGAGACGTCCAGCGCGCCATTCTCAGACCGTGCTTGGTAGAATTTGCGGTTTCGAAGTTCAGGGTTAGGGAAGTGCGTTCTCGTGAATCCCAGTCTTGAGAACCATCCCATCCTCTGGGTATTCATCGCAGTTTGCGCTTGGCATGAGAGGTTGGCCGCCCTGAGCATTTTGACTTGAAGCTGGGCGCAGCCAGGAACCAGCTGGCGGGCCCGATGCAGGCGATTTGGAAGGCGTGCTCGCACACTTGGAGGTTCATGGGACTTAGTAACCAGGGTTATAAATGGGGTAACTAGACTTATAATTACTTATAACCCCTTATAACCTTACTTACTAAGTCCCATGATCCTCCAAGCAAGCTGAGGGAACTTCGAACTTTAGGCTGCCGTGTGTCCCCCACTCGCTGTGTTTGCAGGCGTGATAAAGCAATTAAGTCTGGTGGTGATGCGATGAATAGGGAAGGTAAGAAAATAGTCAGACTCGGTGATGGTGATGCTGGTGATGAACGGTGGCCGATGAGACGGAGGATGAGAGACTACGCACTGGAAGGAGACCCTGCCATAGCCTCGAGGGGCTCACCGAGCACGCCGGGCGCGACGGAGAGGCGCCGGGGTTTGATCAGGTTTTTTTGGCGACAAGTCTGGAACATGCCTGGGGCAGATGCCACGGTGGAAAGCAGAGTTGTGCCCGAGGTCGTTTGCATTTTTGCCAGCACTTCGGTTCGTACCAATAGGTGTTACCCTAGCTACGAGCACATCTCGTGTGCTCCAGTGCCCAGTTGTCGGTTGCAATTGTTCTTGAGGTTCTTCCGCTGCGAGAACCATCTGCACCTCAATCTCAACCTTCGGATTGGGTCGGTCTACCGGGAGTCGGAGTTGCGCAGGCCCCCTGCGCTGTGAGTTATGAGGGGCTTTTGGATTGCTGTGTTGGCTAGAATAATATAGGGGTCGGAAAAATCCTGAATCCGTGCCTCAGGAGATGCTCACGGGACAAGCTTCCAAGGCTTGAGGCTCCTTGGACTCTCGTTTGCTTTTGTTCTTTCAGTTCCCTGAAGGGGTTTGGGTCTGAGTTTGAGGTTTAGGGCTGACGGTTTAGGTTCAGGTCTCAGGGCGTTGGGCTGGGCGCCGTTGTCATTGTGCGGTAGCCTCCCTGCAAACACTGTTCGCCACTGGCAAAAGTCGTGGCAAGATGGCTTCTGCCGCGAAAACTGGGGGCTCGCCTAAACCCTAAACCTTGCTTCGTTGCCGTGAGCACGATCTACTCCGTGTGGCCGGTCCCAGAATAAACAGCTTGTCTTCACACGTTGAAGTTTTCGTGGGAGCCGAGTGTTGTAGAGCCCCAATTCATGCAGCAGCTGTTATGCCCATCATGCCCCGAAACGCATTCGCGCGGTTCTCCACTGCCGATCTGCCCAGGACCTAGGTTGTAGCAGTCGGAACTACACGGGCTGTGGCAGGAAGCGAAACACCCTTCACACGAATCACCTAAACTAAACTTCGAACTCCGCAGACAGCTTCGCCCCCAAACCCTAAAACCCTACCTAAACCCCATTAAAAGCCCCAAGCCCTTCCCTAAACTCATCTAAAACCTAAGCCCTACAAAACCCCAAGATTCCGGAGCAGGAGTTCCTCTCCGACAGCTCCATGCTGAAGGAGGTCGCAGAGCCCGAGACTCTCCGGGGAAAAGAGCGAAGCCGTCAGGGAGCGGCTTTGAAGAGAGCAGCTCCCCCCGAGGAGGCGAGTGACTTCGAGGGCAGTTCCTAACTTTCGAGTTCGGGGTTTGGGGTTTGGGGTTTGGGGCATCAAGTCCGGTTTCTTTCTGCGAGAGGCACTTCAGAGAGACCTCGTTCAAAAAGGGTTTTAGGGTCTAGGGTTTAGGGTTTAAGGGGGGTTTGGGGAGCATAGTTCGTGCTGCAAAGGGGGAAAAGAGGGGAGCTTAGGTTTTTCCAAAGCGGTAGTATGGGGTCTCAGTCCGAAATCGGATCAACACATCTCACCACGGCGCCGGAGAAATGTTGAGGGCCAGGCTTTCCCACGAAACTTTCAGGGCTTGCAGGGATACCCTACCCTGGTTCCCCAAAAGCTTGAACAGAAGATCTCGAAGCCTTTGATCCGAAACTCTGTGCTTTCAGCCCGAAACCTCCAGCAGCCCCGAACTACAGAGCTCTCTACGAGATTTTGGAGGAAGAGGTAGCTCTTTCTTCTGGTGTGGAGTTGAGGTTCAGGCTTCAGTTTGTATGGTTCCAAGCTTCAGGAGCCCACCGACTCTCTCAAATGTAAGGTTTTGTTGGGATGGTTTCAAGTTTGAAGTTTGGATTTCAATTTGCCAGCGTTTTTAATAAGTTGCGATCTAGCCGGCGTGCGACTGGACTGGACCCTCCATCCCCTATCCTGTATGATTTTTCTTATGATGCAAGACCATGGCTTTGGCGGCTTGGGGTCTCGAATTGTCGGATATGAACAAGACGTACAACAGAGGGTTTTGCAATCCGTCAGCGGGCTGATGTGCTCATCGGATACTGCATTCTAATGCGATGTTTCTTGCGACGTCCAGCCAGCGATACCCAAGCAACCCCAAGCAAATGCAGAAAGCATTTTCGAAGGTCGCACCAATCTAGCACATTATCATTGCTCCGTTCAAATAATGCGATGAAAACACAATGACGTGCCGCCATGGACAAGCACGTGACCCTGCATGCTGTCAGAAGTTGCCTAGGGGACCAGTGCCCGACTCGACTTTCGAATTTGTTCTCAATGTGCGTGTAAGGCACGACGCCAAATCTTTGGCAGTAGTTATTGCAAAATAAATGCACTAACAACGATGTCCATGTCAACTCATCATGTGATGACGGGTTTTGTACGTTTCAAGAGGCAAGAGGGTGGTCTTCCTGTCCGAGGCGTCAGGCCAAACGAATCGGCGTTATCCATCACTCTGGTTGAATCAAGGTTGTCTTCGAAGGTTCACGCGCATGTCCTTGAGACATGACAGATGCAACTTTTGTGCATCTTTGCTCAAGCATAATCGCCCTCTGCCCGATGACTAGCTCCATGACTCCACTGTTCTTAGTGGCTCATTAACCTCACCCCACAGCCGTCGAACCCCGATGCCTCGGCGAGGTGTTCTGTTCCTAAACTAGGCCTTAAGCTGCCGTGAATCCTGCTTGCGCGAGTGCGAGAGTCGAAACCCTAGACCCCGGCGGTTGCCCGCATGGGGCCCTCACAAGGAGCCGCCCGGCACATGGTTTTTGCCCTTATCCAACAAAAGGTAATCATGGAACAGGGCTGGCTGGAAAGGATGGATGCGGAGACGTACCGCCAATGGCACTACTACTTAGCATGCATAATCGCGTGGCTGAGCAGCAGGGGCCTCAGCCTGGCAGACGTGACCGTTTCCAACTTGGGGCTGGAGACCCAGGAGGGACACCTCCAGCTGTTCGACCTGGCGACCTGGAAGGTCACAGGGGTGGCCAAGTGGAGCTCTGGATCTGGGTTCGAGCGATACCTTCGCAGCCGATGCCCCGAAGTGCTCGAGACGATTCAGCACCAGCGGGACCGCGCGCCGGAGCGAATGTTTGAGGCCTTCGTGCAGGAAGCTGGACCTTTTGTCATGCACCTTGTGCACAAAAGGATTGCAAGGATGCAAAATGGGCGCACGATGATGAATGACAATGGGGTCATCCAGCTCGGTGCAGTAGACGTCCTCCCGTAAACAATGCCCCTCCGGGGCTGGCCTGAGGCGGCTCTTTAGGAGCCTGCTGGCAGGCGTCCGGCCAAGGCTTTAATTAAGTGCATGCGGAGCCTACGGCAGCGAAGTGCAACGAGCGAGAAACCCTAGACCCCACTGAACACCCCCTCATCTCGACGCTTCAGTTTCACATGCCGACTCCTGGATTGTGCGAGCGTGAGCGCCGAAACCCACTGTTTCGGGGGCACCCCCTACCTTCTAGCCCAAACTGGCCTTGAGGACGCCAGACGCCTGAGGAGAAGGGCCCTCAGCAGAAAGCTCTGTGTCGGCCAGGATCTCAGCTCCCTGTTCTTTCTTGTGCCGCTTGGTGCTTGTAGGAGCCACGTCCGGGATGCACCACCCCCATCGTATTTTGAAGTGTTGTTGCAAAGGCTGCATCGAGCTGGCAGTGGTGGTTGATAAAGTAAGCATACAATGAAGTACTACATACGGTTTCTTTGCGTGTACAGTTGCCTCTTCTTTTTCAGTACGATAAGGCGTAGATACGGCTGTGTGTGTGTGTGTGAGAACAATTGCATCCGGCATGATACAATCGAAAAAGCACTGCTGAGGCCAGCTGGTGTGGGATTGTTCGGTGCAGCCGGCGCGCGCGGCACCTGAGCCAGGTTTAGCGTTCGGGCTGTGGGTTTGTAATGGGGCTTGCTTGAAATCGCGGAGCCCTTACGTAAGGGTGCTTGCTGTCAGGATTCAACTAGTGGACTAGTAGGGTCTCTGTGGAGGCTGTTTGAGTTTTACGAAAGTTACTGTAGAAGGATGCAGCCCGTGCTCTGTGCTCTATTCTTTCTTTGCGCTTGTCATGTCGTCTCATATCCTAGTGCTACCCTAAACCCTAAACCCTTGCTAAGTGGGAGGAAAAAACCCCGGCTAAGGCCAGGATCACTGCCATCTGCGCCACAGAGGAGCGGCCCTTCCTGGTTCGTCATTTGGACGCTACGCCTGGCAGTTCCGGTAGCGGCGCGTCCTTTTCTGCGTCTCGGCTTTGGAAGAATGTGACTGTTTTAGTTTTGGAATTTCCTTTTCGACTTGACATAGGCTTTGAAGCCCAAATCTAAAAGTCCAACACAAAATCTTGCTTGCCTTCTATAAACCTTAAGCACTTCGCCCCAAACCCTAGCATCCGCAACCAAGCTGTAGTACAGGCCTGCACACGGCTAGGGAAGCAGTTCTGTGAAAGGTCCAGAGAATTTGGAAGCCTGTGCGCCCAGAGCCATGTTCGTGTCAACTTGGCATTTCAGCATGTCACTTTCTGGGCCATTTGCATTAATTGCAGCACGCAGTGGTTATTTCCGTTACCATACGGCCCCTGTTTGGTCTTTGCTTCTTGCGCCGTGTTAATTTTGTCTGCTTGCGAAAGTGATATTGTAGGACTGAGAAGGGAAAGCCAACGATGTAGGCTTTGGTACATGCTGGCAATTAGCACAGACTTACCGCAGAAGCCTAAACACTTCAACTGATGCTTCAACCCCGGGCCCTAAACTAAACCCAAAAGAATGTACCAAAAGGCACTAAGTCACTAATTTTCCGTTTCCCATGATTCCGGGCCCCTGTCCTCGGCAGGTCAACGACCCCGTCAGCGTGAACGGGCGCCCAGGTGTCGTAACTTGGGACGGGCGGCCGACGCACCAATTCGCAAAAGTGAGATTCTAGGAGGCGCTTTGGCACACCCTGCTGAGTTTCCCTTGTCGGGGTTTTCCTCATAGTCTTACCCCAAGCAGCTATTCAACATTTGATCTTGACTACAAGACCCTTGTAGTGATAGTGGCATCTACTCATAAACATACATGGAGAGCTCTCAATCATAGCATATCATAGCCCAGGATTTGAAGACGGCAAGGAAAGCGACGTCCTGCCAGTGTGCAGTCTACAAGCCAACAGGTCGCTTGTGGAAGAGGAGGCCGGCAAGTTTCTCACGGTCCTGAAATTATATCGTAAAATGATCCCAGGTTGGTCTTCCAGACTCGCAGTGAGTACAGTGGAGCACTCTCAACATCCTGTAAACGATTCCGCACAGTACCTGGGATTATTCACATTCATCTGTTGGAGCTAGCCTCAAATTCCAGAACCTTCCGAGATCATGAAGCCATCGACGCTCGAGAGCCCACCACACCTAGCACCAGGAGCCGAAACGACACACCCTGTTTCCATGTTCTTAGGTTTTGATAGGGTTGCTTTGTTCATGGGTTCGAGTATACAACCCGTTACAAGGTCGCCTAAAACCCGTTCAAGACCTCAAAAACCTAAGCCCTGAACCACAAGCCTCACCAAACCCTTTGAAGACCGAAAAGACCTAGGACCTAAACCCCAGGACATTGCTTCTTTAGCTGAGTCCATGGCAGGGAAGACAACTGAATCGCAGCAGACTTCCACCCCTCAACCCTTGACTTTTCGAAGCTTCCCGTTGCAGACCTCGCCGTGAGCATAGTTCTCAGCAATGCAAGAGGGAAAAAAGCCCCAAGAACACACCTCATTAAGCCCTTCTAAGACCTAAAAACCTGAGCCCTAAAGCTTAAACTTCGTAAAAACCCGTTAAAGACCGCCTTAAACCCTACACGAAGTTCGGAGGTGTTTGTGTCGGACTTCGACCTGGAGTCTCTTGAGCTCAGCCACCTTCTGCGGTCAGGAGGGGAAAACCGGGACAAAACCGAAGTGGAGGGTGCGGGGTTTTGGGTTTAGCAACCCTCAGGTCCGCACGTCAAAAAGAGGGGTTTTAAGGCCGGGGAGGGGGGGGGGGGCAGGATTGCGTGCGTTGTGGTGCTTCCCAGCCGATCGGCAGACACCGCCCAGGAGGGCCTAATGGCGCCGGCCCCAACGCGCCCGGTTTCGCTGAGCCTTGTTGTTGTCTGGGACTTTGATTCTTGGGGGCTTGGGATGAAGGGCCTTGGCTAGAGGATTATTAGCATTGACATTGAGGGATTGGAACTTGGGTGTTTGGGGTTTCAGGTTTGGCGGTGTGCGGGTTTGGGGATTTTCGGGTGTGGGGTGCGTTTTCAGATCATAAGTGGTAAAGCCTGCAGCGGTGAGTAGTTTGGGACTTCGCAAGTTACAGAGCTCAGGACAAGCCCGCCCCCGTCACCATTGATGCTCCGGTGGGCATCGCGCTGAGGTGGCATGGGCTTGCCGCATGTGAGCGGAAGAGTCGAAGGGCTTTTCTAGGGGCCCCATAAAAAAATCGTAAGCATTAGCGTTTTGCAAGGATGTCACTGCCTTGTTGGGTTTGATTATACGGGGATCTATATAGGATATTCCTATCGAAAGTTTTGCTTATGTGCTTTGCGGGGGCCCTATCTTGATGCAATCAATGTGATTCTGTCGTCTTTGCCCAACTGAGCAGGGATGCTCGTCCGGTTCATGTGGCCCCAGCCCTGCATCACAAGCATTGGTTTACGTGCAAAAGTGGTGCAGTGCTACGGGTGCGAAGTGCGGGACCCCTCTTCCCAGGTTCGGAAGATTCTCCCTCCACTTTGAACAGGCATACTCCCCAGGCCCCTAGCCCCAAATCCTACAGCAAGAGCAAGTCTTACAGAACGCGAGCCCTTGCAACTCTAAACCCCAAACTGAATGCTAAACTCAGATCTAAAAACACTGGGTTTTGAGGAGCTCGGAAGCGAAGGCTGCTCTGCAGGGACTCCGAGCCGGACAGGCTCGGATACAGGGGGACGTCTTTGGGGCCTCTAAGGGTTTACGGTGTAGGGTTTGGGGTTTAGGGTTTCAACCCAGGGGTTACATGTCCACAAGGATCAGACCATCACGTCTCAAAACCCTCAACCCCACCATCCTTGAAAGACAATTTTCAATAATCGGCTCGGAATCGTCTGCGGCACTTCTCGGATGTTTGCATTGTTTGTCGTTTGACTCCAGGCGCAAGGTTTTCGATGTTCCAGTTGAAGACTGGGGCGGCCATCGTCGTCATAACGCTATGCTCAAAATTCTTTTCAGGGAAACAGGCTTCACCGGACTCTGGAAAAAAGCACAGGCAGGATTGATTGCATGCACTACTTCTCTGATTGCAATCATTGCAATCATTTACGTTGTTCTTGCTGCGATCGCCAAACTTCCGAACCCTAAACCCCGAGGACCGTGGTTCAAATCCCTGACATGAACCCGTGGCCACCTAGCAGCATGGGATTTTCAGGCTTCCGGCTCTAATGAAAAGTTTACATGATCTAGCGGCAGAGTGAGAGAGACAGAGAGCCCTCTATGAAGGCGGGGGATGCTTTGAAGTTGGGTGAACGGTGTACCCGGAAAAGAACCCCCATGCTTTCACGCCGACTTGCGCTGGACGCAGTACAGACCTCAGCCCCTTCGGAGGGGAGCGCATGGCGCTTTAGCTCTGGAGTAAGCAAACCCCTCTAAATCTTAAATCCTAAACACCGAAATCCTCATCTCCTAAACCCTAAATCGTGATTGTGGTTGGGTTGGGTTGGGTGATCCTCTCAGCCTACTGGCAGCTTGTGGAAATGAATGCTACTCAGACTGGTCGTGGATCTTTGCCTGCCTTGTCCGCTTTCTTTGATTCGAAAAAGCCCTACAAACCAAGACCCTAAACCCCTAGCAGCCGGGAGGTCTGCTGGAGCTTCGGTGGCAACCGCCTGCCCTGGCCCGTAAAGCTTCTCCAGGTGCCTTTGCCCCCGCAATGGATGGGTGGCTTCTCGGGTGTTGGGATTAGGGTTCAGGATTTCGGGCTTAGCTGGATGCTAAGAAGGGTGTGGCGTTTAGGGCTTTAGCCCATGCTGAAAAAGGGCTTAGGTTTTGGGGCTATACATGAGTTGAGTTTCAAGTTTGCTGTCTTGAGAAGACCTTAAGATTCCAGCTTGCCGGCATACACCCCAAACCCGTGCTCAAAAAACGGCTTAGACGGTTGTAGCATCGATGTGGTGCAAAGCGAAGCTTCAACCTTCAAACCCGACCCTGAAACCTTGGATGCTTTGAACCCTAAACCTTTCAAGGGGTGACGCTACCGCCTGCGGGCCTTCCCCGGTCCCTGATCCGACCCTCTGGATGCGTGACCCCAGCACAGTAGTCACTGAGATCCGTAACTACATTTTTTTGATGAGCTGCATGGATTTCGGTGAGGTGCCCAGATTTAGAGTTGTCATACTTTATTGGATGGGTGTTGTGATGGCGGTCTTGAGCTTGCACTTCTGTTTCACTTCTCAGAAGACCTCGAACCACCTGCCTCGCCTGGATTGTCCGAGTGTGAGCACCGAAACCTTTCAAGCTCCCCCTGAATCGCAGACCCTTGAGCTCTATGCAAACGAAGCAAGAGGAGTGCCCGGAGACCCGGACATGGCGTGTCCTTTTCCTTGGGGCCGAGTGGAGACTTGGCTTCTTGCGAGTGGCTGGTGGGACACTTTTTGCAAGGTCCGGCTTAGGGTTAAGGCGTGTTTGGGTTCAGGGTGTATAGGGCTTGGGGCTACCAGGCGTTCTTGCTTGCAAGCCTGCAAAAAGGGCTTGGGGCAACGATTGGCCTCCGAAACCCGGCCCCGTCTTTGAAGCCTGGAAGCTGCATCGGCCATGTGCAGGCGCGCCCATGTGTTCAAGCTTGCATAAGGGTAGACTTCTGGACGTGCATGCCTCCCTGACGCTGCGCCGCAGCATACATATATAGACGTATGCATGCATGCGTTTTACAGCCAGTATCTTCGTCTGTTGTCTTTGTGTGCATGTATCTACGTCTCTATCTGTACGTATGCACGTGTGTATGTATGCGTGCGTCGCTCTCTCACTCTCTGTGTCCGTGCAAGTCAAGTTTTTTGCGTCTCTGTGTGAGCGAGGAGAGAGGAAAGCCTTTCGGTAGCGTGCCTGCGGCCGTACGTGCAAGGCGAGGGCACGGTCTCAAGCTTCCTTATGCGGCTTGATGAAGAACCTTTCGATTGTTTGGGCTTCTGCTTAGGGTGGGGAAAGCTTGCTCCTAATTGCCGCCAGAGCCCGCAGAAGTTTGCGGTGAGACAAGAATAAGAAGTCGTTGTGGACGGATGTCGAAAGTGTCGCTCATAGCACTGCTGGCAGGAGACTTTGCAGTTTTGGCGGGAATCCTACCAATCGCGCAGGAAGAGCATGCGAAATGCGGTGCCTTGCCTTCACGATCCAGAGAGATCCGAGTCGACACCCGTATATATATATATATATACATACATATGCGTCTGTGTATGTCCATATGTGTATATGTAAATAAGTATATCTACGTATATGTATATATGATGACACCCCACCCCACTGGCGGGGGTGTGGTACCATAGAGGGGGTGGGGGGGGATACTTTGCGAATGTACCTGATGACATACATGCATCTGCGCCTGCTGTAGAAGACAGACCCACACCCGGAACCAGCGCGAGCAATCAGTTAAACCCGAGACAGCTCCACAAAAAACAAAACTACCAAAGCCCAGAGGCCAAAACATGAGCATTTTCCTCGCGGCAGTCCCAAAAACCAGAAAGACCACATCCCATAGTAAGCCAAGGCATGAGCATATTCCTCGAGACAGTCCAAAAACCAAAAATACCAAAGCCCATAGGCCAAAACATAAGCATATTCCTCGAGACAGTCCCAGAAAACAAAAACACAAAGATTCCAAGCGGTTCTGTCGCTATATTGCATTTTTTTGGGACTGCATGGCCTTTGGCATAGCTCTGAACCTTCATTTTTTTGGGACTGTCTCGAGAGAGATGCTCATGTCTGGGCTTATGTGCTTTGGTATTTTTGTTGCTTTTGGCACTGTCTCGAGAAATCTGTTCATTTGGTTTTGCAATTTGCAGTTTTGCGACTGTCTCGAGAAATGGCCTCTGGCATAGTTGCTCTGAATCTTTGTTTTTTTGGGATTGTATCGAGAGCTACGCTCATTTCTGGGCTTATGTGTTTGGTATTTTTGTATTTTTTAGGGACTGTCTCGAGAAATGCGTTCATTTCTGGGCTTACGGGCTTTGGTAATTGTGTTTTTTTTTTTGGGCTACGGTCCGACGGGTTAGTTTTTTGTTTCTGTTGGGGACTGCCTCGAGAGATATGCTCGTTTTATCATGGCAAGACACTGTCTCCGAAGGAACGCATCTGTACATAAGCCTACCGAAAGCGAATCATTTGCATACTATCCGACTACATTCGCTTCATGACAAAACAAATCCTTACTTGGTCTTGTACTGGGGAAGGATTAACAAGGCTTGTAAACACCAACTTTTTGATACAACAGCGCTCTGCAAACATGTGTGTCTATTCATATTTCAGGTTTTGTCAGATCCAGCTTCATCACATACTGTTTTTCGTAGCCTCATCGCACCTGCGCTCCCATGGCTAGCGTGCCAGCGCTCTGCAAACAGGATTCTTTCTTCATCTTTCTTCACATATCAGCCTGTCTCTGCTTCGAAAACGCAGGGGGAGGTGTTTCAGTATTCTCTTAAGCGTCGCTTACCACATGATTTTGTACATAGCTACAACTGATATTTACCCGGTTTGTTTCATCAATAGGCAGTCTAAGCTTCATAGAGGAATCAGAACCGGCTAAGATGTAGATACTCTTTAGATACTGCTTCAATTATGATATGTGTTGAGCATCTACCGAACCTAACTTATAATTAGTTGACGACTCCTTTGGTGTCTGGCTTATGTGGTTTCATACACAAGCTTGCCGCCAACTGAATCTTCCGTGTTGGTCTGGCACGTGGTGCGAAATTTGCATAACTAATTGTTAAGGTTGCCTTTCAGATTACACGTCAGTGTTTCAGCCTTATACACACTTTTGTTCAATAACAAAAGAAAAGCTTTCAAACTGTGCTCGTCGAACACGTGATTTTCATATAAACCTAAGCAGCATTTCAGTACTATAAATAGCAGACCTACCTCGCGATCAACCAAGTTTCATGAATGTTCGATCACAAGAACATGCTGAAATGCTACCGCAATGTCGCCGATTGTCAACCCAGACACTTAACTCAAGTTAAACAGTTTTTGAGACGATATTTGACAACATGTCAAATTCATCTCATGAAGTGTTCACTAGTATTGGCTGATATTCGCAGGCGCGTCACTAAGGATATGTATGACCTAATGACGAATGAATCCTTGGTTGCAGGTTCGCATTGCTTTAATTTTTCCGTGAATGAATTGGACGGTAGTTACTATCTACAAATGAATTGATATTTAACTGCTGAAGTGTTGTCTATCTCATGAACGTTAGTGCACTGACTAGCCATTTCAGTACGAGTTAAGTCTTGAATTATTAGCTGGTCGTGGATGTGTTCTGGGTTGTTTGTTGAGCAGACTCAAATATCAAAACGCCATGATATATTCAACAAATGCTGATCCAGTATCAACTCCAGCCTAACAAAAGCAGAAGCAATGATTGTTGTTGCCTGATTAGTCGATATGATAGCAGGCGCTGGTACCTCAATCATACAAGCTTCACATGAGTATCGATCCAAACCGACTGCATACTTCTCCAGCAAAAGCAATAACATATGCATTGTAATTACTATTCGCAAATCAAATACCAGGTGCTATACTGGTAGCTTTTGCGTACGTGCGTTCAACACCGCTTGGACTCTTTCGGGTTTGGTTTGGGGCCGTATTTGTAGTGCAGATGGTTAGATACCGTACCTAGTAATTGTAGAGAGGAACCAAATAGCAATGCTTTGATACACTATTCACCATTCCTGTTTTGTATATATTTGCAGGAAAGTACAAACTCGTCATCGTGTTCGTGGGTGGATGAGTGTTGTCGAAGAAAGCTGGCGGCAATACTCTGAGGTTTTATTCAGGTTCCAGTGTGGGGAAAGAAAAGGGCAGAGCACAAGACTTCGTTGCCGTGCTGGCGAGAAGAACGCCGACGGCAATACTCACAGACTTTATTCTTGTTCCGATGCTGCGAAAGAGAAGGGCGGAGCACAACATTTCGCTGTCGTACTCCGGGACGCGTCCTGTCGAGAAGAGCCCTGAACGGCAACACTCTGAGGCTTTATTCTTGTTCCAGTCATGCCAAAGAGAAGGACTGAATACACTACTTGGCTACTACAAACACTGGAAGTGGGATTCTGGGGGTTCGTGGTTGAGGGTTTGGCTTGGAACAACACTTTATTTGTATGCAATCGGATACAAACACTCAAAGTGCGAATTCCAGGGCAAAAGGGGGGGGGGCGTAGCCCACACACACACACACACACGTATATA